GACTAGGGTCAGGTGGAAGGGGAGGAGGACCTCCCCTATCAGTGGATTGGGGGAGAGGCATAGGAGAAGAGGGTGAGCTGGATTGGGAGGGAAAAAGAGGGCGGGGCTATAGAATGTTGGAATGTTGGGGATTGCAATGAATCTCTAGATTCCTTTTTGGAGGATCAATAAAAATTAAGTTTCTGTTATAAAATTTATATCATTCATTTAGAAATACTCTTTTTTTAAGCTAGATGTGATGTTCCTCACTATTTCTTTTTTAATTTAATTTTATTTTATTAATTACACTTTATTTACTTTGTATCCCCCCATAAGCTCCTCCCTCCTCCCCTCCTGGTCCCACCCTCCTTCCCCCTTCTTCATGCATGTACCTCCCCAAGTCCATTGATAGGGGAGGTTCTCCTCTCCTTCCTTCTGATCTTAGTCTATGCGATCACATCAGGAATGGCAGCATTGTCATCTTCTATGGCCTGGTAAGGCTGCTCCCCCCTCAGTGGGAGGTGATCAAAGAACAGGCCAATCAGATTATTTCAGAGGCAGTCCCTCTTCTCATTACTATGTAACCAACTATGCAACTTGGATAATAAACTGCCATGGGCTACATCTGTGCAGGGGTTCTAGGTTATCTCCATGCCTGGTACTTGGTTGGAGTATGAGTCTCTGGGAAGACCCCTGTGTCCAAATTTTCTGGTTCTATTGCTCTCCTTGTGGGGATCTGTCCTCTCCAGATCTTACTGTTTCCTACTTCTTACATAAGATTCCATGCACTCTGCCCAACAGTTGGCCATAAATCTCAGCATCTGCTTTGATAGTCTGCAGGGAAGAGCCTTTCAGAGGCCCTCTGTGGCAGGTTCCTAACAGCACAGGCTCTAAGAGCAACAATCAATAAATGGGACCTCATGAAACTGAAAAGCTTCTGTAAAGCAAAGGACACCGTCATCAAAACAAAACGACTGCCTACAGATTGGGAAAGAATCTTCACCAACCCTTTATCTGACAGAGGACTAATATTTCAGTATATATAAAGAAGTAAAGAAGCTGAAAAGCAGCAAACCAAGTAATCCAATTAAAAAATGGGGAACAGAGCTAAACAGAGAACTCTTTGTAGAGGAATATCGAATGGCAGAGAAACTCTTAAAGAAATGTTCAACGGGAACTCCACAAGCAGAGCAACAGAACAAGATAATTTGAACACAGGGAACTTCCCAGAGACTCCTACTCCAACCAAGGACTATTTGTGGAGATGACCTGGAACCCCTGCACAGGTGTAGCCCATGGCAGTTCAGTGTCCAAGTGGGTTACATAGTAATGGGAAGAGGGACTGCCTCTGACATAATCTGATTGGCCTGCTCTTTGATCACTTCCCCCTGGGGGGGAGCAGCCTTACCAGGCCACAGTAGAGGACAATGCAGCCACTTTTGATGAGAACTGATAGACTAAGATCAGAAAGAAGGAGAGGAGGACCTCCCCTATCAGTGGACTTGGGGAGTGGCATGCATGCAGAAAGGGGAGGGAGGGTGGGATTGGCAGGGGAGGAGGGAGGGGCTTATGGGGGGATACAAAATGAATAAAGTGTAATTAATAAAAAAAAAAAAAAATAAAAAAAAATAAAAAAAAAAAAGAAATGTTCAACGTCATTAGTCATCAAGGAAATGCAAATCAAAATGACCCTGAGATTTCACCTTACACCCATCAGAATGGCTAAGATGAAAACTCAAGTGACAACACATGCTGGAGAGGTTGTGGAGAAAGGGGAACCCTCCTTCATTGCTGGTGGGAATGTAAACTTGTACAACCACTCTGGAAGTCAATCTGGCGCCTTCTCAGACATCTAGGAATAGCGCTTCCTCATGATCCAGCTATACCAGTCCTAGGCATATATCCAAAAGATTCTCAAGTACACAATAAGGACATTTGCTCAACCATGTTTGTAGCAGCCTTATTTGTAATAGCCAGAAGCTAGAAACAGCCCAGATGCCCCTCAGTGAAGAAATGGATGCACAAATTGTGATATATCTACACAATGGAATATTACTCAGCAATAAAAAAACAAGGAAATCACAAAATTTGCAGATAAATGGTGGGATCTGGAAAAGATCATCCTGAGTGAACTGTCCCAGAAGCAGAAAGATGCACATGATCTATACTCACTCATATAGACATATAATATAGGATAAACCTACTAAAATCTATATATCTAAAGAAACTAATCAAGAGAGAGGACCCTTACTAAAACCCTCAATCCCCATCCGGAAAGGCAAAGAGGATGGACATCAGAAGAAGAAGAAAATAGAAATACTCTTCAAATACAAATATATTTAGAGAGTTCTTGAGAGAGAAAGTAACATTTTAATTTTATATTGATTTAAATATCTTGGCATTTTTAAACTAGCAGGGAATTTTATTTGTTGTGTTTTTGCAGCTGTGGATTATATTTAAGATGCATTTCATATACGCTGTTGTTAGTGTACACATTAGTGAACATATTATTTAACTTTATCATTCGTTCATGGATTTTACTATCCTAGTAAATGTTTATAGGTATGTGTTTATGTATGGCTTTATGGAGAAACAATAAGTATCTGATTTAGTTGATAAAATAGTATAATTTCAAGATTATTATGAGAGTCACAGAAACTCTCATGATGGGGCTTTATTTATATTCGATTTGCAAAATGAATAATCAATTATAGTTTCAGAAAAAAAATAAAATAAAAAGAATTTTGTAATTTATTACAATTTATTCTCTTTTTATTCCAGGTGTATCCCCCTCCCTCGTTCCATTTCAGTCCTGCCCTCCATCCCTCTTCTACTCCTATGAATCTGCCCCAGTCCAATGACAGAAGAGGTCTTCCTCCCCTTCCATTTGACCCTAGCCTATCATGTCTCATCAAAACTGGCTCATTGTCTTCCTCTGTGGCCTGATACGGCTGCTCCCCACTTCAGGAAGAGCCAGCCATGGAGTTCATGTCAGAGACAGTCCTTGTTCCCCTGACTAGGGAACTCACTTGAAGATTGAGCTGACATGGGCTACATCAGTGCAGGGTTTCTAGGCTATCTCCATGCATGGTCCTTGGTTGGAGTATCATTCTCAGAAAAGACCCCTGGGCCCAGATTTTTTGGTTCTGTTGCTCTCCTTGTGGAGCTCCTGTCCCCTCCAGGTCTTTCTATCTCCCCCATATTTCATAAGATTCTCTGCACTCTGCCCAAAGTTTGGCTGTGAGTCTCAGCATCTGCTTCGATACCCTGCTTGGTAGAGTCTTTCAGAGGCCCTCTGTGGTAGGCTCCTGTCCTATTTCCTGTTTTCTCCCTCTTCTGATGTCTATCCAGTTTGCCTTTCTGAATGAGGATTGAGCATCTTACTCAGGGTCCTCCTTCTTGCTTAGCTTTTTCAGGTGTACAAATTTTAGTAGTTTGTCCTATATTATATGTCTAATATCCACATGTTTTATAAAAATAATTAAAAGCAAGTTTGATAAGTAAGAGGCAAAATAATTCATTTTTAAAACATTGGGTCATCACTCAGGCTCTCTGATGCTTGGACATATGCTTTAGAAGAAATGATGCTCTCTAAGGTGCTTAGGAGTGAGCACACATCTGTGTTGTTTTGATATAGGCTGCATGTTGGACAAGGGTTGTGCACCCATATGACTAGCTGCAAGGGGAAAAGAAGTTTAGTAGTGAATACTTACTTAATCGAGGAACAGGCAGCCCTCAGTTAAACCCCTTTCTGTACAGTTTTGAACCTTCCCCTCACTCTCTCATCTTAGTATGCTGTTCAGATGTCATTAAAAGTCTTTTCTTCATTTAACAATTTAACAAGCTGGGGCATATGTTACTCCAACTTCAGCAAGTGCTCCCAGTACCTCCATGTGGCTTCAACCAGGACTGCAACTCTCCAACTCCGCCCTTGCTTACACATCCCATGCAGTTTTCTTTCTTCCTTTCCTGGGTGACTTACTTTGGTGGTTCTTGATTTCTTTTATCTTCCATTAGATAGTTTTTTTTTCCTACAATTTAGTTCATATTTTATTCTTCTGAAGTATTCTGTGATTGGTGGTCTGCAACAGAGGTCTACATGCTAACATTTATTAAAATGATAGTGTAAAATGAGTATGTTAAATACAAATAGTAACCCTTTTAAAAATTTATAATTTTTTTAAAACTGTTTTATAAATGTTATTTTACAATACAAAGTCAGCCAGGGTGGGAGGAGTAGAATTAGATAACTTTATTTTAGCAGCATCACTTCCTGCTTAAATCATAATTTTATGAAATATTTTTAGAAATTCTGGTTGTAAGTTTCTTTTGTCGTATATATTAGGGAAAATAAAATTTTAATTTTAAAAATAGAATATTTTGCAACTGTTACTTTTATTTTGAGAAGTGTGAAGCAATGAGTTTAAAAAGTAATTAAATTTAGAAGCCTTGAAGTGAGAAGTAATGTTCTATATTTCACTTAATTAAGTAGAATGAAATAACTGATCTAAATAGGGCAATATTGCTTATTTCTAGTATTAAAATAACTAAACATATTTTAATATAAAAGTACCATCCACACTTTGGATACATGTGATTAATAGCTTATTTTCCTTTTTCTTGACTTACATTCGGTAATTAGTGGTTTACATTCAAACTGGAATTTAAAAGACTACAGATAGTTTTCAGGCCAGAGATAGAAAACTGCTTGAATTTTGCAGGACGTACTTGGTCTACAGTGTTTGTAAGTATTTGAGTTAATAAAAAACAACCGCGTTAGTCTTAAAACAAAACAACAACAAGAAAAAACAACCACCACCAACAACAACCAATATTTTCTGTTACTAGATCAAACAGCTCTCAGAACTGAAGTGAGTATAGCAAGATATTCAGCACTACCATATAATGCCAGAGAATTGGAGGGAGCGTGATAAGCCGTTACTGTAGTCGTGTCTCTGTTTTAAATATTTAGAGTTTACTCTTACTTTAAAAGGAGTATTAATGAAGCTTTATTTTTGCAGAGTACCTTCAAATTTAAATCTGAGAGTGATATTCATTTGGCAGAACATCACAAACAGGTTCTATATGATGGGAAACTTGCAAGTAGTATTGCCTTTTCATACAATGCCAAGGCCACTGATGCTCAGCTTTGTCTGGAGTCCTCACCAAAAGAAAATGCATCCATATTTGTGCATTCCCCACATGCACTGATGCTCCAGGTAGGTGGATGGTGTTTGGTGCTTATGGTGTTAGCACTGAGAGTGTTTTCATTTCCCTCAGTAAGCACTTACCTGCGAAATGCTACAGCTGGTTTTGCTTTCGCATTCTTAAAACAAGCTTTTGTCTTAACTTTTTGACTTACTTGGAAGCTTGTTCCATATGTGATTATTTGTTTCTGTGTCCTTTGAAAAATGTGTTGACTCCCTGAACATGAAGTTGATAGGTATAAAAAAAATCCTCTGATTTGAGAATGTCTTATCTGCCATCTTGAAGATTGCTTGAGTGTCCTTAAACCCAATAATAATAATACTTTCGTCTAGAATAACTTAATTTGGCTTCATAGTTTAGGATAATGGCTTCACAGTTTATTCCAGCTTTAAAAGAGACTAGTCAAAGAGACACTATTTTTACTGTTCACATGTATGTCTCTAAGTTATTTTATGCTTGAAACTCTTACAATATCAGAATACACTAACTATACAAAGATACCTGGGTAGGAAATGGTGATGACAATCATGTTGTCATGGCGGTTTAATAAATATTTTGTCTTTGATGTAGGATGTGAAAGCTATAGTAACACATTCAATTCATAGTGCAATTCATTCAATTGGAGGGATTCAAGTACTTTTCCCACTTTTTGCCCAACTGGACAATCGACAGCTCAATGACAGTCAAGTGGAAACAACTGTCTGGTAAGTTTTCTTTGAATGTACTATATACTGCTGTTTATGCTCTTAGTTTAATTCATGGTCTGTTCCATGCTATGTAATAGATTACAATCTTTGGCCTTAAGTGTTAATAAGATTGTTTTTAGAACTAAGGGAGACATATAGCTGCATAATATATAAAAGAAAACTCCCAATTCTTACATTCTGATTATCGTTAAAAAAATCTTCTCCTAGAAAGTGAAAGAAATAATTCTAGATGTAATAAAGTGACTATGACATACAGTTAAGGAAAAGGATTAATTAGCTCCAAAGTTACCCACAGCAAATGCTCACAGTTCTGTCACATTATAATAAACTTCTAAGGTGAGTTATACTCAACCAGTTATGCAATTTGTAGCTTAAAGACTTACTGCTCTTATAATGCTTTATCATGATATAAGATTAGAATAGTATTAAATAACATGAACTTTTCTTTAAATATAGTTCAATTTTGAGGGACACAAAAATGGTGATTTGTTCATGTTCCAGTAAGTGAAATGCCTTTTTAATGAAGTTGAAGGGAAGTTTTATAACTTTCCTTATTTTAGTAAAAGTACCATGTATATCAAACTCTGCTTTATGAATTTTCTAAGGCATTGAGTGTAAGTTTTAGCATTGTATATCCTGTTTGCTTTGGATTTTAAGAGTTATACAGACAAACATTATTTTTTTCAGTCCAAAATAATAAAGGCTTCATGAGTTGACTATGTACATATGCATATTAGCATTTTAATGGGTTGTTGCATTTTAAATTAATGGAAATGTAGTGAATGAAGCTGTGGGAAAAGTTTAAAATCCGGTGAAATATAAGGCAGGATGTTTTCAAATTAGCTGTGCTGACTTTGAAGACTTCTGGCTAGTATTGGCAGTGGTATTGTTTCTGTGCTGAGACTGTCATTTTGTATGACACATATATGAAGATAAATCTGATATTCATTTATGACATTCAGTGCCTATCTCTATGTTACCCTTTATTTCAATGTAATATAAAGGTTGGAGTTCTTAAAGTTAAAAGCTTTGAGGTGAAATGAAACCTGAGGTTATGTCCTTCTGGGCTATTACTTTGCAGTGAACATTCACTTATTTTAATCCATTTATAGGTCAGCTGAGTGAAAGCAGACATACAAAAACAAACAAACTATGCTTTATGATCCTGAATTTAATTTTTTTTGTTATTTATCACTTAAAGGGAGTATGCATTATGACCTTTATTTTATTAGTTTAAAATGCTGTAAAGAAAAACCAAGAGAAAATGCCTTGCTATTTAAACAGTCCTTAGAAATTACTTGAAATTCATAAATTTTTAATCTAAAAGAGATTATTTTTCGCAGTAAAGGTTTAGAAAGATGATAGGTTGGAGTATTACAAATAAAATCATTATAATAATGTATTGCCTTATGATTTGCTATTATAAAATCTTATTTTTAAACTATATGTAATGGTTATTTGGGCCTTTTAAACAACATTTATGAAATTGCTTTTCTGCTTCAGTTCAAAACTCATTTTAGTGCAAATATTTATCTTAATATTTAAATTTATTTATTTCATCGAGGAGATGAAAGTGGAAAAGTTGGCATTCTAATTTTATATATTTTTTTATCATTCATCTCAGTTTCCCCCTCATAGTTCCCAATTTTACTTATTAAAAGATGTACATTTTGTTTTTAATTTATAGCTGATAGAAAACACCTCATAGGAAAAAATATTCCAGTCCTCTTTAATAACAATGCACATCTATACCCAAGATAACTAGGTTTCCATCATTTGCACCCTTGAATTCTTATCTTTTATTATTTCATTAAGCATTTCAAAATCCTTGATATCTGAGACATGCTGTTTATAAACATTTTTAGTCAGTTGTATAGTTCACTTTTCAAGGTACCAGGTATAAGACAGTGTGTATCAGTAAGAGAACCATTTATTCATAAAATGCTAAAAGCAACTTGCTATACAGGATTTCTTCCTCATGATGAATACAGATTTTTAGCTATGTAAAGGTTTATGGAATTTCTTGTTTATGATTATTGGTTCATAAAGATGAATGGAACCTTAAAGTAGGATATATTATCTTATTTTAGCCAGTATTAACTTGCTTCAGATAAATAAGAATCACCTTAAACATTTTAAATCTTCCAACGAAAGTTGAATATAATTTTTAAAAAGTTGGTTTGTATAATAAATATAAAACAAAATTACAGTAAATTTCTCATTTTTGGTGGCTTTTAAGGGAAATTGAGTTAAGTTATAGTAAAGGTTTTGCTCTGGTTTCTCTGTTTTATTCTGCAGTGTTTTGTTTTCCATGTACTAAGCAGTGCCTTTTTATAAAATGTTCTATTGTTTCCATAGCCTCAGTTTTTGTTCAGTGTAGGGAGATGCTAAGGTAAACTCACTCTTTGAGGAGAAGCTTGCTTTCTGGTGTCTGGGAAGGTGACTTATTTGTGCAGGATGAATTTTCTACCTTTATTTTATCGCAAATGTTGCAATATTATGTTCTTACTCAATTCCTGAACTTTCAGGTCATACAGTCTCTACTTTAAATCCTGAACTCAATATTATTAGTGCATTTTACAGTATATTATTAACTCATTCACACCATAGTTTGTTCTACTAAACCTTGGAATAATGGGGACTTATAGTTACTCAGAACAAGAAGGAAAAATACGTGGGTAGATCACTTGTGTCCTCTGGGTTTGTTATTAGGGCGAATGAGCTAAGTGATTTTTGCCAGTTTTTTTTTTTTTCTCACATACTTTGATTTGCATTTTCAACACTGTCTATTAACAATCTTTTTAAGAGAAGGTACAAAGGCTCATATTACTTTACATGTGACCTTTCTATTAATGATATTATTTATGTTAGATAATTACTAAAATATTGAAATAGGACTTGAACTTTGAGTTTCTGCTATTATGACAGTTTAGAAATCTACACCAGATTCAGGAACCTGAACATTTTAAAATTAATTTTCTTAAATTAGCCATTGGACTTACCTTTTACTGTAGGACTCAATCTACAGGAATAATTGTCCAGACCGCTTTTAAAGAAAATCTGTTGGTGTAAACTTCATCAATGTGCCAAACTGATACGAAATAGATTAGTGGATGAATAATACTGAGCAGAGTCAAATAGCTTGTGGCAATCCATGTAGTAATTGCTCATGAATCTTCTTTTCAGTAAATGAATTAAGCCAGTGCGTTATATTAGTGGGACTTCATGCTTTTTATAATTATTAATTGCCTTGAGTAATTACTCATCCCCATGAATAACAAAACATCCAAATATTATTGATCCCACTTTAGTTCAGATAAAATTACACATTCTGAAATACAAATGAGCAGTTTAAAATGTGAGGCGATACATTCAAAACATTCTTTTATGATTGTGTGACTTGGTGCAAACGTTTTCTAAACCTGATTTAAGCTGAATTTTTTTCTATGAAGCAAAAGTATATTGGAAGTTCTCATTAGAAATTATGTGGTGCAAAGGAAATGTTTTGGTTTTTTTTGTTTGTTTCAACTCACTTCTGTACTCTTTGATTGCAGATCATGGGGTTGGTCATGAGTTGATAGAATGTGATATTCATTGAGTACTTACTCTTGTTGTGTCTGTTCCGTCTGAAAGACACTATCATTGTCAGTTTACTAAAGACTTTTCAAAGGTAAATAACCAAATATGATTCTTAAGTGCCAGCATTCTTTCTGTAAAACAAAGAGAATAAGCTGCTATCATCTGTAATCCAAAGCCCAAAAAACTATTTTAAATGTTATACACTGTATTATGTGACCTAACTATAGTCTACTGATGATGAGAAAGGGAAAGTGAACAATCACAGGATCAGACAGACAAGCTTAGTGAGAGGATGTAAAGGTTCTGTTTGCCAAGGTCTGACTTCATGTCGAGCCTTCTGAATGCCTCTATAATCCCATTTTTATCTTAAACTATCTTAAACTATGACATTTCACAAGGTAAAAACTAGTTTCAAGTAATGACTTAAATGAAGCTGTGTAGGTATGTTAGTACTTGCTAGACAGGGTTGCCTTTTGCTCTGAATTGTAACTGTATGTTGTTTCATAAAGTGATGGAATATAAGACATCACACTTAAGAGAATTTCAGTGTTTCCATAAGTGCTCGTGTACTTCAAAAGTCTCCTTTTCATTTTATTTATTTATTTATTTATTTATCTATCTATTTATTTATTTATTTATCTATTTATTTATTTATTTATTTCTACAATTTATTCACTTTGTATCCCTGATTTATCCCCCTCCCTTGTCTCCTAGTCCCACTCTCCCTCCGACTTTTCCCCTTAGGCACTTCCTTTAGTCCACTGATAGGGGAGGTCCTCCTCCCTTCTATCTGACACCAGCCTATCAGGTCTCATCAAGGCTGGCTGCATTATCTTCCTCTATGGCCTGGCAAGGCTGCAACCCCCCAGGGAGAGGTGATCAAAGAGCTGGTCACTCAGTTCATTTCAGAGATGTCCCTGCCCCCTTACTAGGCAACCCACTTGTAAACTGAGCAGACAATGGGCTTCTTCCAAATAGGGGGTCTAGGTCTTCTCCATCAAAGGTCTTCTTACAAGGTGAAAATTGGGACTTGTTAGTTTGGTTACTGAAGTTAAATAATTCTCTTGTTTCTGTCTTAACAAAGTTACTCCTGTAATTAAGTTGGTTTATGTTCCCTTAGTAAAAAATCAGTTCTAATTAGATCCTTTGTCATATATAAAGCAACAAAATTACCTTTAAACTTGGATGTTTCATTGTCTGTCTACCTTAATTTTATTTTACTTTATTTTTAAAAGTGACATAAAATGCTTTATAATTTTTAATTCAGGAAAATATAGTGCTCTACTTAAATTGTTATATTTGTATTGTGGGCTTTTAATTCAACTAGCCAAAAACATAGCATGTAATTGTGTGTACTAAGCCAAAGAAGTAAAACCAGTTTTATATAAGTTGGTTTCTCCTAGTGGAGGTTGCTGTTG